TTCCCCCCCCCTTTTTTCCTTTCTTCTTCCCCTGCTGGGAAGGAAAAGCAAAAGCCTGAGTGTACAGTTGTGACCTAAGAACTCATGCATGCTTTTTTGATAATGATGAAGACCAGAACGTTCTAGTGTCTGTCTTTACTATTCAGTCCTTTGTGATATGCACCTGTTATCGTGATTTAAAGCACAACTGTATGTCCATGCTTTTCATTATATTCCAGGTTTTGGAGTTCTGTTGTGATAGATGTGATGACCTCTCATTTCTGTGTTTTAAAAAAACAGCTAGTTTGATGCTTCAGAGAGTCTTCTACGAATTTTCTCTGCAGTAGAAGTAGAGATCAAATTTAATGGAGAGGGGCGAGAGTGGTATTTTTTTTTCTGATCTACTGTGTTGTGTCTATGTCAACATCAGAAGATGAGTTTTTAAGACTACTGTGCTGCAGATTTGTAAAAAAACCACCTGTATTGTTTTTTTAATTAATTGAAATTATTTCATATTTAAGCTTTTGTAACCAGGTCTAATTATATATCTCAAATTCTAGAAGACTGGGATATGTTAGATGTAGACGAAGATGAAAAGCTGACAGGAGAAGAAGAGTTTGAATTACTGGCTGGACCTCTTGGGTTAAATGATCGACGTATTGTACCTGAACCTGTACAGTTCCCTGACAGTGATCCTCTGGGTGCTTCGGTGGCAATGGTGACAGCCACCAACAGTATGGAAGAAACATTGATGCAAATAGGTATATTTGAAATGAGTTGAATTCAAAGAACAAGTACCCCCCTCTTTGGTGTGATTTTATAGGGCCAATGCAGAATTGTTTGGACAACCTTTTCCCACCACGAGGAAGTGAAGACAAGTTTCTAAATCGTCATTTTATTATAGGGGAGTGTGAGGCATTTATATTGGCAGAAGGCTTGTGCTTTGATTTACTAGTAAAACTGTGACTATGGATGCCAGTAGCGTGTTCTGCAGAACTCAAAGATGGAGTTGTGGATTTAAGTTGGGACTTGCCAACCATCCTGTTGAAATGCAGGATCAATGTTGTAAGTTTGTAGGCCCCTCTAATGGAAAAGGGAAACAGAGGAATTAACATTAATTTGAGTGTTGTCAAGTTGTGCCCATCTGTCTTTGAAAATAAGGAATAGTTAAATTACATAGTGGATTTCAGGAGTGTATTTTCCTCTCAGTCATTATCACTGTAGTTGTGTATGTATGAAATTTTGAAAAAATTCATGAGTAATTTGCAAATTTAGGCTAAATTTCCTTCTGTGCTTATTATTAGACGATAACATTTTGTTTTTCTTTAAACACTAACACAAATTATCATTCTTTCCAAGGCTGTCACGGCTCTATAGAAAAAAGTTCTTCTGGCAGGATAACCTTAGGAGAGCAAGCAGCTGCTCTAGCAAATCCCCATGACCGTGTTATGGCTCTAAGAAGAGTGACAGCTGCTGCCCAAGTCCTCCTTGCAAGAACTATGGTTATGAGAGCACTCTCACTTCTGTCTGTCAGGTTTGTGGCATCCTTGGCAACACTTTCACCTTTCAATTCAGAACGAGTTATCAAGTTTGACAGGGATGCATTTAAGCTATCTGGGAAAGTGATTCTAATTTTATGTACTTACATCATACTATTAAGAGAAAAAGTTCTGTTGATTTTCTTCTTTTCAACCATATCTTCAATCTCTATGAAAGAAACTTTTACATCCTATATGGAAAGTGGATTCCAGCAGTGTCAGCCATTCAGAGCATCAAGATGCTGTGTTTGTCCGTGAGTTTTTGTTCAAGGCAAGTGTTGGAACTTAAAAGTAAACATTAGAGGAAGGAAGATGAAGTGCAGGAGTTGATGGAATATGAGGATTTAAAAACTGCCATTGTATGAGATATTTGTGCAAATATGAAGACGTCACAGACATTTGACATGTGCACATGCATATTGTCATAGCATAACTCTAAATATGAATTTTCCATCTACCTTTGTTTATGAGTGATGCCAGGTAAAGTGATGGATTTTTGCTAGGGCAGGTCTGTTGTGTGTTTTTGTCTTCAGCTTAAAAGAAAAGGGAGTGGATTTATTTGGATAGATAGTTTTATCCAAACATAACTTTCTTTTAAAATGTACTAACAAAACCAAGAGTATTTGCATTAATTTTTGACAGTGGTTCCAGTTGTAGCCTGGCAGCTGGTCTTGAATCCTTGGGATTGACAGATATCAGAACTTTGGTTCGTTTAATGTGCCTCGCTGCAGCAGGGAGAGCAGGCCTCTCCACAAGTCCATCCACGGTGTCAAGTTCAACAGAGCGATCTAGAGGAATACACAGCAAAACAAGCAAACCTATATCTTGTCTTGCCTATCTGAGTACAGCCGTAGGCTGTTTGGCATCAAACACTCCTAGTGCTGCAAAATTGCTGGTACAGTTATGTACACAGGTAGGACTGTTATTTCAACATGAATATTTCTGTTATGCTACTTCCGCATGAGATGAAGCAATCCATTTTGTACATATTGATAATTTGTGCTTTTATCTCGAACTGTGATGAGACCGTGCTCAGTTTGAGGATCTCCTTAGAGTTCTTGTTTATGGCTTTGCACAAGGGGTATGTTTTATTGTTGGTAAAAACCAAGTAACTTTCCATTTTTTTGCTGACAACTTTTTCCAAGTTGGAGAAAAAAGGATGTGTTTTTTGTATTGGCAGGGTTTTTCTGTTAAAGTTTTGGGTTTTCAGTTGAGTCAACTCATACGGAGCACAGATTGTTTCTATTTAGAAAGAGGTGATATACAGCTGTGGATATACAGCAGGATTTCATATGTATCAGGAAACTTCTAAGCAATCAGAGTAATTTAGTTGTGTTGTTTTTCTGAGTTTGAAATATAGTTGGGGAGAAATGAGAGTGTTGGGTAGGATGATGGATTTTATTATGTGTTGTTGCTTTCTATCCTACCACCAGGTGCATAACTTTATGAAAAGTTCTATAAGCTCCATAGTTCTTGGTGGTGTTCTTGGTTATTCAATACTTTTTTTTTCCTCTTTTCTTTTTTCTTTTTTTTTTTAATTTTTTTTGATCCCTGGGTCTGTATAGTTGATTACATTAAGACCAGGTATTCCCCAGGGCAGAAGTCTTAAATTCCATATTGTACATGATCTTTAAAATAGAAGTGGTTGGGAGCTTAGAATTTCTGAAAAAAATAGAAAATCTGGGAAGGTCTGCGTGATGTGTTCAACTAAAAATGTTTTCCAAAATTGATTTTTCTGTTTGTTCTGGTTATTTATTGTCTTTAATTATTTATTTTTAGAATTTGATTTCTGCAGCGACTGGTGTAAACTTAACAACGGTTGACGATCCAATTCAGCGAAAATTTTTGCCAAGTTTTTTAAGAGGAATTGCAGAAGAAAACAAACTTGTAACATCTCCAAATTTTGTGGTTACTCAAGCACTTGTAGCATTGTTGGCAGACAAAGGGGCCAAACTGAGGCCAAATTACGATAAAGCAGAAATTGAAAAGAAAGGTATGATATAGCTTTGATTTTAAATGTTAATTATTAAATCTTCAATTTCTCATTTAAATTTAAGGAGAGACTTGCTAGCGTAATCTACAAGTAAATATACTCTCAAAATGTACAAAACTTAGAATCATAAAATCATGGAATCATAGAATGGTTTTGGTTGGAAGGGACCTTAAAGATCATCAAGTTCCAACCCCCTGCCATGGGCAGGGACACCTCCCACTAGCCCAGGTTGCTCACAGCCTCATCCAGCCTGGCCTTGAACCCCTCCAGGGATGGGGCATCCACAGCTTCTCTGGGCAACCTGGGCCACTGCCTCACCACCATCACAGTGAAAAATTTCTTCCTAATGTCTAGTCTAAATCTGCCCTCTTTCAGCTTATACCTGTTACCCCTTGTCCTATCACCACACTCCCTAACTTGTTTAATTCAAAGTAATCTTATAGCTTAATACACAAATGCTACTTAGAAATATGATCTTATTACCTAGTAGCATCTTTTGCCACTTCAAAAATAATGTGTGTGTGTATTTGAAGCCATATAGCTGAGCTATCCAGCCTCAGTTGTGCCACCTAATGAAGTTAAGGGGAATGACAGCTGATTGCTGCCACCAAAGGACTCTTCTGTCTCTGATGCAGGAGGTTGTGCTGCCTCTGCTGCGAGAGGTCAGGGAGCCCAAAAGCAACCACTGTTCCTGAACACCAGGCTGTTGCTGTGTTAAAGGGAGGGAAGGACATAGCAGCGACAGAAGCTTATCTCTTGTCAGAGGTGGCATTTTCCTGTTCAGAAAGCACTTGCTCTTTGGACAACTGTTTTCCATGTGGTGGGAATAAGAGTATTCGTAATTCAATTTTTAAGGGTTTTTTGTGAAATTTGTAAAGGGGTTATTTTAGTATCAGAGGAGTGTTTTTTCTGTTAGTTAACAGGATTGCAATGTTCTTACAAGATGCTTGTTATTCTCTTGAAATTTTGGCTAATGCTGTGTTCATTTGTGTAATTCTGTTTGGTACTCATCTAGGCATCATCTCATTGTTTTGTTTAAGCAGGTTTAATTGCCCATTTGTATGCCCATCCTTCCTATGATCCTTCTGCTGTAGGCCCTCTGGAGCTGGCTAACGCACTAGCAGCTTGCTGCCTCTCTTCAAGGTTATCTTCACAACATAGGCAGTGGGCTGCTCAGCAGCTGGTGCGAACTCTCGCAGCACACGATCGAGATAATCAAACTATTCCTCAGACCCTCGCTGATATGGGGGGAGACTTACGAAAATGTTCCTTCATAAAATTAGAGGCTCATCAGAACAGGGTAAGCATGATCTTTCCCAAAATTGCATGAATTTTAATACTCTCTCTTTGTAGAATATAGAAAAAAATACTATTATTTTACAAATATATTGACAGAAGTTATTTCCCACAAGAAGTAATTTTTTGATTATAAAGTAAGTTATTGGTTGAGGGTATCTCTGATGCAGAAAAACACTTAGTTTCTTTGAAACTTCAACTAAAAGGGACATCGAAGTGTTCTCACAGTACATGAAGTCAGCAGAACCATCTTAAATCTTTTTTTAGACTAGATCTGAATTTGCATTAATTTTTCTGTCATAGTAGTTAATGTCTTTGTCCAGTATTCTGTGCAATAGTGGCCTGTGGTGCATGTGTCTGAACAAAGTGTAGCATCCTTATAAAGCATGCGTAATTACAGGACACAGTTCTGTAAAAGTAGAAATATTTGTTTGATTTTTACAATGTATTTCAATAATGTAATGCTCTGTCCCACTGGTTAATGTTTGCTTAATATTTGTGAAAAAAACATACCTAAGTTTTAGATTTAAATTCCAGTTTTGCCATGATTACTTTGCTGTTTGTAGGTCATGACATGTGTTTGGTGCAATAAAAAGGGACTTTTGGCAACTAGTGGAAATGATGGAACCATAAGAGTGTGGAATGTTACAAAGAAGCAATATTCATTACAACAAACATGTGTGCTCAACAAACTGTAAGTTGATTCTTTAAAATAGTCTGATATTTAATTTAAGCTCTAATTGTGCAAGATAATGAAAAGAGCCAACCCTGCACTACCTCCTGCACCAACGTTCTCTCATTTTTCCTCTGGGACTATTGCTGTGTTTGTTGCATGCATGGTAAATTGAACAGCTTAGAACTGAAAACACAACTTAAATATCATGATGATAAGAGTTGGCATAAAGAGATGGTGTTAAAGCTGTTTAAGTATATTCACAATTAATTCATATAATGAGAAATGGGTAAAATAAAAGCTGTAAGGGACTGTCTTTTAAAACTATGAATATCCCTTCAGTGGGTTCCAGTGGACAGTTCCAGCATATAACATGATAATTACGAGTGTTGTCATTTGAGTCATTGTAACAGGAGGAAGAGTTTCAACTGGAACTGAGAGCAAGATGCACCTCTTTCATTTCTTTTGTCCAAGCTATTCTGTTTCATTTCATGACTTCTCAGAAAGCTTCACCCTCACCAAAGATGTTAAATTTGCAAAATTTGACATATAAATAGGTAAAGTTAAAGATAATTAAGCTTAGTTTTCTAACTGAAATCTAACTTTAAATTTCTTAATGTGTAAATAACTAGTATCTCATTGTGTAATTTGAAGTGGTTTTATATAGAATATAGAACTACAAGGAGAAATATTTATTATGTAAATCTGCAGTGACGGCAGGAGGACTTCAGATTTTAACTCAGATATTTAGTGAATTCTGTGTGTTCCTGTCTGCTTAAAGGAAATGCCCTTTTTAATTGCATTATTTTATTCTAATACAGAGAAGGTGATTCTGAAGAAAGTCTGGGGTCGCCCAGTGACCTTAGTTTGTCTCTTGTCTGTTGGAGCATCAGTGGCAAGTATCTGTCTGGAGCTACAGAAAAGATGGTGAACATATGGCAAGTGAATGGTATGCCCTTAGTGGACACTTCATGATGCAATGCATTTCTGGGGAAGCTGCTAAGTTATTGAGTATCTGTTTACCCAAGTGTTTAGCTGTGTGTGCTCTCCAGTGTAAATGCCTGCCGTCTTCCATAATATCTTGTAAACCCATTTAATTAGAGGAAGGCACCAACCACAAATGGATGTGTGATTTACACTTAATTGAGTAGAAAACTGAGCAGCATATGAGTCCTTGTTGAATCAGAAGCGTTTAGGTGTGAGGCTTAATCACTCTTAGCAATTTTTGTCTGTAAATGCTGTCTTCCTATGGTCCGCAAGAATTGCCTTTCTACGTGCAACAGGGAGAATGCAAAAATGGACTGAGACAGGTGGAGGGAAAGATTGCTAGAGTGATCAGCTAGATGGAGTGTCTTCTAATGAAATCAGGATGAGTGAGCTTGGTTTCTTTATTTGAAAAAAAGAATCTTGGAGGAAGAAGGTTATAAATAAACACATTAGGAAGATAAACTTTAGGAGAAGACCTGGGGAGAAAAAGCAGCTATGTAAGCAAATAGGTGGTGTTGACACAAGAAGAAATGTAAATAAATTGGCCATTAATAACTTCAAGAAAGTTTCTAATGTTCAAAAGATTGTGATCTCATTTTTTATAAGGAGGAATGACAACTGGGGAAGAAATACTATAAAATTAATTAGGTAAATTTATGAGATTGCATTGTGATAGAAGGGACCGAACCTGATCCAGGAAAGACCCCTTCCAATTCCGTGGTTCAGTCTGCGAGCATGGTCAAGTGCATTCTCTTAAATTTTTACTGTCATTTGTGCTGCAGTTGTCTAATCCAGCCTAATACCTTTAGAACTCCTCTGAGAGAAGACTGTTAATCCCTTTGTCATTTGTAATCTCTGAAACTTCATTCTGTTGTTTTGTGCTTATAAAAATCACCAGTTCCACTGCCCATGTTAATAAACAGTCCCCACGAAAAGTATAAATTTACTGAGTACTGAAGATGTTAGCTTCGTTCCTTAACAAAACCATGTAACTTGACTCATCATTGAGATGCGTTAGCTAGATTTTCTGTCTACGTAGATTAGTGGACCATTGCTTTGTAGTCTTGTAATTTACGTGAATTTGTAGTATGTCCTAGCTCTAAATTGAATCTCTTAGTATTTTCCCATGGAAAGTATTTTTGTTGTTTTATTTTCTTTATGAAGATGAAGTAGTTTTAAAAGACTTTTTGGGTTTCTAGGAGGAAAAGGATTATTAGATCTTCAGCCTCACTGGGTATCTGCTCTAGCTTGGCCAGAAGAAGGGCCAACTGCAGCGTGGACAGGAGATGCTCCAGAATTATTATTAATTGGTCGTATGGATGGATCTCTTGGTCTTATTGAAGTTGTAGATATTTCAACCATGCACCGGCTGGAACTGGAACACTGCTACAGGAAGGATGGTAGGTAACTGTATCAGTATTTAGGTAGAAAGTAAAATTATGAATCTCCCCCCCACCCCTTTCTTTTATTAAGCAAGTATATAGTCTCAATTTTTTATTACTGTTCATGGGATATAACTTCTGATACCTTACCTGCAAGCATCATTCACTTCTGTGAAGTCTGTGGAATCTTCATCTGCACCCCTACAGCGGATGCAGACAGTTTGTAGCAACCTAGTCAAATCCTGGCATTCCTTGCCATTTTATAGAACCAGTATAGGTTCCCTGCAGGGTCTGCTCTGTCTACAGATAGCATGTAGTCAGTGCCATTTGAATTACTGAGTTATTGCCCTTTTTACTTTATAGTTCCAGTCGCAGGGGCAATCAGGTAGCATATCTTTGGTAGCATTGTGTGGTTTTACATATTGCTTCTTCAGGAAATCTGCAGATTTTTTTGGCAGGATCAAGTGAGGCTATGTCTACATGCCTCAGGTTGTTTTCAGTGCTTTTCTTAGAAGCATCCCTATCTCAGATGCATGTACAGGTTTCAATCTACATTTTTTCTTTTCCCTAGCACAGTTCTTTTCACCATGTCAGGAATACAAATTCAGTTATTTTAATAAAAAAAAAAATAATGAAAAAACTATTACAAAATAGTCTCAACAGCTGGCTTTACAGTGCCACTATTTTCTTATCTTTACCATACAAATTCAAGAAAATTTTCAGACCAAAAGTATATCAACTAACCTTGGGGTGGAGGGGAAAGTTGTTATGCACTTCTCATTTTAGACAATTGCACTGTAAAAACCTCTTTGGCAGGAGTGAAGTTCAATTTAGTTTAATTAATTTTTGTGTTTACATAGTGTCTGTCACATGCCTTGCCTGGTTCAGTGAAGACAAACCATTTGCAGTTGGCTATTCAGATGGAAAATTGCTAATAGGAGCAAAGGAACCACTTGAAAAAGGAGGAATTGTTCTTGTTGATGCACATAAGGTAGAGTTAGTCTTTTCAAAACTAATGTGTAGTTTTTTAAGTAAAGATCTGTTTAAGCTATTTTCTTTATTTGAAAGATATTTATAAAGTGAAGTACACATTATTTTAAGAACACATAGCTATTTCTGATACATAATATTCAACCCAATATATTTTAAAGGAACAGCCTACCAAATTGAAAAAAAAAAAAGTAAAAAATAAATTTTGTCTCCTTTTTTTGCTACTAGAGATTGTGAAGTGTATGTACATGCAGTGGCAGAAGTGTATTAAGGACACAGCTATGCAAGTCCGGATTTTAAAGACTGTAGTTCTTTTAATTTGTAAAAGTGCTCATAATAAATTCTAATTTTGGTTATGTCGCATGTTTTTGTAAAGCTTAAGTTCCTGTGCAAAGCAAAAGATGTTTTTCTAAATACGCAGCCGCAAAGGTTTAGAACCTTCGCTTGGCTGGTATGTAATAGTAAGTCATTAGTAGTCCATAAACGATTTGTTAGGCTGAGAGGAGAATTCCTGAAGTGCAGGTGTAGTAAAAGCATCTCGAGTGCTTCCATGGTCCTGGTATTTGAAGCATTGTGGTCACAGAAGTGAGCGTGCAGTGATAATGAAACTGTATCTGCCTTTGCCACTGTGGGCTCTTCTCCTTTCTTAGCTCAGGCAGACTCCAAACTGCATTTGGCCCATTACCTAATGTGCTTATAAACAGTGTACTATTAAGGTAATTCATACTGCAGTTTCATAATATAAAAAAAAAAGTCTCCTTCTTTGGGAAAAATAAATCAAGAAAGGCATGAAATGAAAGGAGAACATTTTTTTTCTAAGCTTTCCCTTTAGTTTCTCTGAGGAACCTAGGGTTTTATTTTAGTTTGATGGTTCTGAAAAGTTTTGTTATTATTTCATAACTGCAACTCACTATCTGTAATGATTTCTTTGTGAATAAGCTGTTCTTTGTTAATAATTAAACATTACATTAGCTACGAGAGTTAAATTTTCTCTGTTCATACTAAGTTACTTCATACAGACTTGCAATTTTTTTTAATCCAATAGGATATGATTGTTAGTATGAAGTGGGATCCAACTGGTAAGATTCTCCTGACATGTGCCAAAGAAGAAACAGTGAAACTCTGGGGATATATGGGAGGATGTTGGAGACGTCTGCATTCACTGTCACATCCAGCTCTTGTGAATGGCATTGCCTGGTGTGCTCTGCCAGGGAAGGGACCCAAGTTGCAGCTTTTACTAGCTACGTATGTATATTTTTTTTCTATATATAGCTCATTTGCAGGTCTTTTCTATCAGTCTTTAGTGTTCAGAGCAAAGAAAAGTTTAGTCTTTTTTTTTTTTTTGTAAATAACATTAATTCAGGAAGCCAGTTGCCATGAGATCCATGAGGTTGCAGAATTCAAATGGAAACAGTGTCTCTGGTCATGTTACCAACTGTTTTCTCCATGCCGTGAGACCTGTGTGCGGCCATCCTGCTTGAAATTTTTTTGCTTCATCCAAATATTTTTTCTGAGAATATGTTGTTAGTAAAAAATGAAAAGCTACAGGAGGGGAGGAATAGGAAAAAATGCATTTATCCATTGGGAACATGCCTCTCCACTTTAGATTAATTGATCCAATATAGTTTTATAGGACAGTGGTGAAGATTACTGATATTTTAAGTTAATACCAGACCACTGATGCTTTTAGTGAATACCTGTACGTTGTTTTTCTGATTTATCCTGACTTCCTTTAGAGGATGCCACAACGGTTTGGTGTGTGTCTGGGCTGTTCCCCAGGACATAGTAATGACGTTGCAATCCAGCTCAACGTGCTCAGAAGGATGGTGGGATGAAGAAACAAGTGCCAAGGTAAAAGGAGTAAACTTGGTGTTTAAGAAATTCTCTTTGCTCGTTCTGAAATTGGGGGAAGGAGAAGAATGTGAGCAAGTTACTCAAATCTCAACATTTCCTGAGAGAAGACATTTGCTAAAAAAAATTATATATTGCATTTGTGTATGTGTAGGCATTTCCAGAACAGGAAATGAAAAATCACGGATTTAAATGTATTTTATTTGGCTACAAATAATATTTAGATCTGTTTTCCTTTTTTAAAAGTTGATAAATTTATACTGAAATTTAATAAGAGTTTAAACTTGTTCCTAGATAAAATTAAGTGAAGATTAATTTAACCTATGTAAATTGTAATGTGTTCTTTCACGTTGATGGTATTTAGTAAGGGGAGAAAAGATGATAATGTGACAAAGATATTTATAAAATATTATCATAGTACTGGTCTTCTGGAAATTATATCTTATGGAAATGACCCTTCTCTATGGACGATCAGTATTTAGTGCAGAATACAGAAGCTGTTACGCTGTTCCGTTTTCTGTAGATAGTTCAGTGTTCCGTAACTATGAAATAATTTGCAGGATGGATACAGAAAAGCAGTAGAAGTCAAGTGTGCATTTCAACTGAGAGGACATATTGCTCCTGTTCGGACTGTTGCATTCAGCCCTGATGGACTGGCATTAGTATCTGGTGGACTTGGTGGTCTCATGAACATTTGGTCCTTACGGGTAAGATCATCTTTGACGTGGCATGTTTCTTTTTTTAATATCAGTATCTAAAATGCTCAAGGCATCAGAGTAGCGGGTTTTGTTCCCCCAATATGTTAGAGACATTAGAGAAAGCATGGTATGAAATAATGGTCTAAAATTATAAATGATAAAATATAAATTGAAATTGTACTTAATGTGGAAGTATTTCATCTTTTATCATTCTACTGTTGGTTCATTCTGTAGGCTTGGTCATGCTAGTTAGGATTTGTAGAACCAGCCACTCTCTCTTTGTGGTTGGGAACAATATTCTCTTTGAGATCTTTTCCAAGAGACAGGTAATGTGGATTATTAAACACTTCTGAATCCTTAGTTATGTTATCTCCTTAATATGATAGGCTTTTTTTTTTCTTTCAGAGTAAACATTTCAGTTTTAAAATAGTTATTGAACAGCTTGGGAGAATCACATCCCTTAGGAATGTGATTGTATGCATTTAAACAGAAAAGTAGTTGTGTATACACACTGACTCAAAACACTTCTCTCCTTAGGATGGCTCAGTATTACAGAGTGTTGTGATAGGTTCTGGAGCTATTCAGACTGCAGTATGGATACCTGAAGTTGGAGTAGCTGCTTGCTCTAACAGATCAAAGGTGACACTATGTGTTAAAGTAATGTTCTTTCAATTGTTTACTGAAAGAAGATGCCATTTGTCTGTCTTTATTTTTCTTTTTCTTTTTTTTTTTTAAGAAATAGGCAGATAGAAACCTCTGTCTAATTCTGTAATATTTTCAAGACACATTGTTTTGGCTTTCAACTATTACCTGACCCTAACCAGACTGAGTTTTTTTAATAGTATCCCATGTTTAACTTGGGTGGGGGCAGGGTGGTTATAAAGGATAATACACACCAGTTACATCAGCCTGTCTTTCTAATGGCAGTAGCCATAACTGGACAATGAAAATAGGCAGAAGACAGATATTTTATTTTTCCTTTATGCAGCATGAAGCAATATTTTGTTTCCCCCAGCAAATAAGATACTTCTGTGATCTAACTTAATCTAAAGAAGAATTTTTAGAAGCAGCAGAATTTACTTGAATGTTTGCTGCGTCAGGAACTGCTGGCATCTGAACAGAAGTTTTGTGACAGTTGATTATTCCAAAAGGTGGTATTTTTTGTGAAGGAAGATAAACATGGCACAAGTTATGACTCCTGTTGGTAGAGTCATGCTGCATGTTCTAAGTATTTTAGGATTTTTGGAAAGTCTTTTCTGAATTGAGACCAAATACTGAAGGTCATATTACAAGGCAAATCCAAAACTAAGGTGACACCTAAACTAAATCCTAAACTGAGGTTACAGCATTCACTGAAATGAACTCTGCTTATTGCCATGTTTGCATTCTTTGGAGTGATAATCATTGCCATGGGAATGTGAGAAAGTGGCAAAAGGAGAAGGCTTCTCCGTACTATTTGTCAGCAGATTATTTACCAACAGAGACAAAAATATTCAAGCTTGTGTGGTTTTGAGCCCCTATGGAAACCAAGATGATTGGTGATAAATTAATGGAGCTGAATAATCCTGCTTTATGGATTTTAAGTTCTAATGTGTCTTGTGACTGCTGTTAAACAGGATGTGTTGGTAGTGAACTGTACATCAGAGTGGATATCTTCCAATCACGTCCTTGCAACATGTAGGACTGCACTGAAACAGCAAGGAGTTCTGGGATTAAATATGGCCCCTTGCATGCGAGCTTTCTTGGAACGTTTGCCCATAATGCTTCAGGAGCAGTATGCTTACGAAAAGGTAAGAAGAGCTAATGCGAACATTTAAAGTTTGTGTTTGACATGAGGTCACTGTTTGAATCTCAGCTGGTTTCAGTCTTTCACCTCAGAGAACCCTGAAGACTTTCCCGCATCCTATTTGCAAATGTCTTTCAGTATTCTCAAAGCTAGTAGTCACCTAATTTGAGAATATTTAAAATATTAGAAAAACTTTGGTTAAGCATGGAGGAAAGCATTTGACTACAGGACTAGCTTTGAAGGACTCCTATTTCCAAATTGGTTGGTGTATATTTCTAACTTTGCATGTTCAATTTCTCTCTCCCACTCCCCTCACCTTTAGCCCCACGTGGTTTGTGGAGACCAGCTTGTTCACAGTCCTTACATGCAGTGCTTGGCATCGCTCGCTGTGGGCCTTCACCTGGATCAGCTCTTGTGCAACCCCCCAGTCCCTCCTCATCACCAGAACTGCCTCCCTGATCCTTCCGCCTGGAATCCTACAGAATGGGCCTGGCTGGAGTGTTTCTCCACTACTATAAAAGCTGCTGAAGCTCTGGCCAAGGGAGCACAATTCCCAGAATCCTTTACTGTTCCGGACCTGGAGCCTGTTCCAGAGGATGAGCTTACTCTGCTAATGGTAAATGTGCTATATTATCTCAACAGCGAAGCGTGGTGTTATTGAGCATATCATATGATGCAGTTAACATCGCTGAACTGTAGAGATTTATATTCATTAGCATAAGCACCAGCAATAAGTGTAAGTTTGTTTTGTAATTAACTGGTTAGAATACACTGTAGTTTGCTCTCTCTGTGTGTAACATTTTGGCACATTTCTACACCAAATTATTTTGCTAGTGTCAATTGTCTTTATGACTTGTTATGGTGTGTAAACCAAAATAGGAATTGAGGATTAAGAGTTTATTATCAAATTTACAGCATTTTAAGCCAGTGTTTGCAATCAAAACTTCAAAAAGCCCTAAGCATCAGTAAATAGGAAAAGATTACTTTATCATGAGTTTTGTTTGGTTTTCTTTTTTGAATTTGGGTTACAAGTCATGGATAACAGTGTCATTGCTAGATAGGTGTAGTAAGGAAATAAAATTGGCCTGTGGATGAAAATAAAGTGTTTGAGTCTGCACACATTCATTTGTATTGCTGTACCATTTAGAATAATTTGAATGTCAATATTGTTCTTAGTTAGAAAGGCAAATATGTATTATGTAACAGAAGAATAATGTGCATCTCTTGAACCAAATGTGGCAATGTGGATTTTGTTGTGTAGGATAACAGTAAATGGATCAATGGCATGGATGAACAGATAATGTCTTGGGCAACATCGAGGCCAGAGGTTAGTAAAATTGATGGGTTGGGGTTTGGTTTTGGGTTTTTTGTTTGTTTGGTTTTTTTGTATTATTTTCAAACGTCATAAGCTATTGACAGTACTCTTGTTCTAAAGCATTCTTTCATGCAATTCCATAGGATTGGCACTTGGGAGGCAAATGTGACGTGTATCTGTGGGGAGCAGGTAGACACGGACAGTTAGCAGAAGCTGGTAGAAATGTCATGATACCAGTAGCAGCACCTTCCTTCTCTCAGGCTCAGCAGGTGATCACTTCAAAACAGTCATGATTTAATGGTTTACCATGTATTGTTTGTACAGTTTGTCAAAATCTCTCTCTAAATGTCTTTTCAATTTGTTGTTTGAATTGATTGTCAAGTACCCTGAAACGTGTGTTTTCACTAAAGAGGAAGTCTTTAATTATTTGACAAATTCAAACCAAGAAGCCACTGAAATCTGACAAAACAAAATTGTTTGATACGAGCATGATTTGAAAATACCTGCACAGCTCTAACATAATGCATGTGCTGGTTTTGTTTTCTTAAATAACATTGACATTAAGGGTGAAAATGTCAGCATTAGATCTCGGTTTAGGAGTATGTTGTGATTTCTCTCGCTGGAAGAAGGTAAATCATTAAAACTCCTTTGTGTCTTTCTAAACTAGGTTGTGTGTGGTCAGAACTGTACTTTTGTCATTCAAGCTAATGGCACGGTTTTGGCTTGCGGAGAAGGGAGCTATGGGCGACTAGGACAAGGAAATTCTGACGATCTTCATGTCTTAACAGTCATTTCAGCGCTGCAAGGTAAAACTGTTGGGTTTGAAATGAGTCAATAACAATTGCACAAATAGGCATTTTGGTCGTTAATGTAATTATTTGCATTGCTGCTATTTTTGTAGATTTACACATTAAAATTTCAGAGTCTTTAATTAAAAAATTGAACAAATAAACTAGATGTTCCTTTTTGCTTAAGGTTTAAGTAGTAATTTGTTAAAATTCCTTAACTTCAAGAAGGCTTCAGGGAAAAGTGTTTACTCAAGATAGGAACATTTAATTTCAAAACTAATGGCAGGCCAGAAGCATAGGTTGTATATGAGAAGACTAAGGTTTTGTTCAAAATAAAAATAAATAAATTACTATTAAAAAAAAAGTGTTACTGTGGTTGGTTCCTTTCCCCAGACTTAACTGGCTAACACTAGAGGCACTTGGATAAATGTACATAAAGAGTTTATTATAATTTATTCTAAACTTTGTTTTCTCATTGATCTTTAACAGGCTTCGTTGTGACGCAGCTGGTGACCTCTTGTGGATCTGACGGACATTCCATGGCTTTAACAGAAAGTGGGGAAGTCTTTAGCTGGGGAGATGGAGATTATGGCAAACTGGGGCATGGAAACAGCGACAGACAGCGCCGACCAAGACAAATAGAAGCTCTGCAAGGAGAAGAAGTGGTGCAGGTTCCAAAATACTTTTTGTCTCCTCCAAACTGCAGGCATGGTAACCTAGTGCTAGGGATGTTCCAGAACCATTGTCAATCTTGACAATTTGAATTAATATACTGAAAGAAAACAAGCAACTTTTTACTTCTCCGAGCATTATCAACCAACTTGATAATTTCCAGTCGAAGGAAGTTAATGTCACATAGCTCATCGTTGATGGGTGATGTTAATTGACAGATGTTACTGGAGAACACTAAAAATTAGAAAGAGAACGGAAGAGAGGGGTGATCAAAAGATTGGCAAAATACAGACATGATTTAGATGTTTCCTTCGGTCCTTGTCAGGTGACTTTGATCTACAAAATGAGTCACCGAGACCACCTCCTAAATACTAAGTGTGCATTAGAACAATGCACAAAAACCATATTTGGCTTTGACTGGAGGTTTTTTAATAAAAATATAAAAAATTCGTCCAACAAAATCGATCTGCTTACAGAAAACAGTAGTCGGTAAAAAAAAAGAAATAAATAAAACACCTGAAAGCCTTTCTTCACGCAGATATCCACCTGTCGTCCTCCTCAAAGTTATCATTGAGAAGAAGAGAGAGGTTGGTGGAGAAATCATTAATACTGATTTATCTGTATTTTGGTTCTCTATAAAGTGAATATAGTTTATGGGAGGAAAAGGTATTATGTATTTACATGTCATACCTAATATAATTTTCCCCCCAAATTTAAAATTTAAAAATTATATTTATTTTGCTTCCAGATGTCATGCGGCTTCAAACATTCAGCTGTGGTGACAGCAGATGGCAAACTTTTTACATTTGGAAACGGTGATTATGGTCGATTAGGACTTGGAAATACTTCCAATAAGAAACTTCCAGAAAGAGTGACGGCGCTGGAAGGTTACCAGATTGGACAGGCATGGTTTATCTAAAACTAGCAATGTGTCTTTGTTTAAAGCTGGTGTTTTCAACTTATTTAAATATTATAATGATTTTTTTAACCTTGGCTTTTACTTTCATTATGATGGCAGAATTTGACTATGCATAACTTTTTAAAGAATTACTTTCCTGACTCTTTTTGATCCTCTTTCTGCAAAACTGCCCATCTTTTTAAACATTATAACATTTCAAGATTTAGGCATTTTTGAGCATGCATCATGAGCTATTTTATATTCTTAAACAATGAGCGTGTGTAGCATAATACTGTCTTTTGGTTCTAGCAGCTGAGAGGAAGCAAACACCTAAAAAAATACTACTGTGGTACTAAATGTCTTTAAAACACTCTAATAAGCAATGGAAATTCTAATAGTTTTAAAAGCATATGTATTTTTTAAAACACAGTTTTTCTTAAAGGTAGTTGGGGTGTTTGAGTAAGTAGTAAGTTAGCAAAAACTGTGGTAGTAACATGTTTCTCTCAACCAGGTGGCCTGTGGACTCAATCATACTGTAGCTGTGTCAACAGATGGCTCAATGGTTTGGGCTTTTGGAGATGGAGATTATGGTAAACTTGGTTTGGGAAATTCCACTGCAAAATCCTCACCGCAGGTCAGACTTCATAGAGAAATCATTCTTTGCATAAATTTCAGTGTTGTTAAATGTGTTACACGGTGTTGAGGGTGTGATTTTCATAAGTTAAATTGTTAATTCCACCTACTGCACCATTCGAATACAATCTAGCATAAATAATTCTGATTATACGTTATGCTGAGCCTGCTATTTTTAAGATTTCATGTAAATAATAGTGACGTTATCTCAGTGGCAATACAAATAGCGAAAATCTTAGAATTAGCTGAAAGAAGAGAGCTTCCTTATTTTGGAACTTGGGGGGAACGTTGTTTACATACTCAACTACTTCTTCCCATGCCCACTCCCTGCTCACTCCCAGTAAAAAAAGGGTATTTTGAATCATTGTATATAGAATAAGGTGTTAGTTCCATTAAATAAAAAGACAAAACTCTGTCTCAGTTTCCTCTGCTAATTTACTAGTATTAATTAGAGTAATCCTACAATGTATGCATGACACAGTTGGAAATAAAAAAATTATTTTTGGAAGCAGGAGGTACAGATGAAATTCATGTTTGCTTTCTGGTTATATCCTTAAAACACCATAGCTCTTTTTCCTTTCCCTTACCCCTTAGAAAGTGGATATTCTTTGTGGAATTGGAATTAAGAAAGTTGCCTGTGGAACCCAGTTCTCTGTTGCACTCACAAAAGATGGTCATGTATATACTTTTGGACAAGGTAGGACCATCTGGTATTTGGACCTTTCCATCCCTAGGTTTGTGTGTATTGCAAGTGAAAAGGAAGAATATTAAGACATACTTACAAGACAGACCTAATGCTGCTTTTTAGATCTCTGCTGACCTAATCTGAATTTTGAAACTTCAACAATGCAATTTTAACATATGCCTAAAATGCAGATTTGTAGCTCTATCTAGTTTGATCTCAGGATAGCCTTTCAGTTTACTAATTAACTTTTTGAAGAGTGTTTTCCTAAAACTTCATTGCATTTCACATATCCAAAAACATTGAGTTACTTTTTCTAACACTAAGTTTACTTTGTCTAATAACGCATATGCCTACGTGAGTTGTTTAAAAATCTGGACAGGAGAATTTCCAAATGCACTGGATTAAACATGTTTCAACTTCTTAAGGCAGTTAATTCCTCTGTATTATAAAACCATACATTTCGATCTAGATGTCTTGATTGAATTTTATCTTGTTTCAGACTTAAAGCGAAAATAACAGCTTTAGCAAGGTTAGTGAGCACTGTAGGAAGCACTGGTTTGTAGGAAACACGCTAGATCTCTCCCTAACTACTTGTGTTCCTGTTCCAAGATTATTTGGAATCGCTTTTTGTCTCTTCCTGACTTCTGCCTACAAGTGAAATTAACTTTTTAATGTTCCTTACATATATAGACATGTGCTTGTAATTTTAGATCGCCTGATAGGTTTGCCAGAAGGTCGCGCTCGAAATCACAACAGACCCCAGCAAGTTCCAGTACTGTCAGGAGTCTTCATTGAAGACATAGCTGTAGGAGCAGAGCATACGCTAGCTTTGTCATCTACCGGGGATGTATATGCTTGGGGGAGCAACTCTGAAGGGCAGGTGTGTACTATTCCTTGTTTATTTCTGACCTTTATAAGGCTAAAATTGTACTTTACAGATGTGGTTGGAATAGCTTCATTCTGGTAGGGAAAAAAAAAAGCTTTTATTTTTCCTCCTTCTCCTCTCTTTCTCCCCCCCCCCAATAACATTTCAGGCATTTCAGTTATTTTCTTTCTTACTTCCTGTGCTCTTACATGGTAGTAGTTTGGAAAAACACTGAAAACATTCTACCCAAATTACTCTAGTCAAAGCTTTTTTCAAAAAATCACAAATTTTTACCTAATTTTTGAGCTGTCATCAATTTTTTCAACATAATAAAATTTACGGTTGGTGGTCAATTAGATTTGTGAACTCTTCAGATGCTTTTCGTAAAGAAAATATAAATTAACTTTTTTTAGAGAGTAATTTTTTGAAATCGGAAAAAAAATTGTAAATAATAAATTCTGTCTCTTTTTTTGGGGACCCTGGTTTTATTCTTGCCCTTAAAAGTCCATTCTCCTCCCTCACCCCATGTATAACTCAAATTTTTGAAAGACTTCAGCTTTTTGACAGTTTTGCATGCTACAGGTATAAGAAAGTGCCTCTTGATAGCTGTTGGTGTTTCAGGAAGTTTGGGCTAATTTTGTCCTCCAGTGTTTCAGGATTGAGTTTTCTGAGAAGGGCTGTTGAGCAAGTTGTTTATTCTGAGATGCCCCTCTTTGGTTTTTTGTTTTGTTTTGTTTTGTTTTGTTTTGTTTTTTATAGGATGCTTGCTTTGTGTTACTGGAAGATAAAAATTGTTAGGGTAAAAAATTTAGAGAAACTTCATTCAGAAAGCCTTTTTTATATGATTTTACTTGCAATGCAAAAAAGGTTTTTTTATATGAAGTGGTAGTTTTAGAATATGATATGAAACTATCAGTAAGAGGTCAGAACAGCTTTTCATAAACTACTGTAGGAATTTACATGCTAGAATAAAACTGCAACATAGATGACTTAGCAGCATAGTTTAGTTGCTTAGTCTGTAAAAGCGCTTGCAAAAAAAGGCTCTAGCTGTTTTAAGGTCTCTTTGACACCTAGATCTGCTACTGCCATTGAGTACAGACGTAATATTCTATTGAGAATAAAAGGTAAATGCTAGCAAAATAAAATATATGTATGGTAAATCTTTTTTATCCCAATATATGCTGTAGATAAATACAACTTTTTTCCCTTTGCTCTGAAGTTTTGCTTAGAGTTGTAGACATATCATCACAGTTGTTGATTGTCCCTTTCACATCTGTTATAAATTGTCAGCTTGGACTGGGCCATACCAACCATGTCAGAGAACCAACACTCATAACAGTGCTGCAAGGAAAGAATGTTCGACAAATTTCAGCAGAAAAAAAGTGCTGCCTGGACAGCTCCACCTGTTCCACCCAGAGCTCCAGGTAAAGAACTGACATTGTTTGTATGGTCGTGTGATTTAGTCTCTGTTTCCTGGAGGATAAGTGCAACAACAACAACTTTTGGCACAAAATTCGTTTTGGTTTATATCCGTACAGGTTCTTAAATCGCCTTAGTCTCTTAATTTTGCTGCTGTCAAACTCCAGTAGGCAGCTAAACACCACAGAAGCTATTGCAAAGAAAATCAGCACCATCCCAGCCAAAAGCAGTGCAGCTACCCTTCATGCAATAATGCTTTTTTTTCTTTTTTTTTTTGCTGTGGTAGGTGTTTCAGTGCCTTTACAGCTTGGTTTACCTGATGCCATTCCACCACAGTATGGGGCACTAAAGGAAGTGAGCATTCATACAGTAAGAGCAAGGCTCAGACTGCTGTACCATTTTTCTGATCTCATGTACTCTTCATGGAGATTACTTAACCTCAGTCCCAACAACCAGGTAAAATTCCATTTGAAAAAAGCAACCTAGCTGTGTTATGTTATGCCATGTCACTAGAGAGTTTCTGACCAGATCAAGATGGATCTTAGTAATGGGTTCTGTAGGTTTTTTTGTAATAAAGAATACATAAAACCAATACATTAAACCTAACTTTGTCAAAGAATTGTTATATATTTTCGCTTTGACATGTCAGTGTTTCAGTTTCCAAAAGTTTACTAGCCTCAAGGCTAAAACCAAGAAGTGCTAACCTGTCCCTTTCTGAAACATGGAAGTGCTAGTGATCACTATGAAGGGTTTTATTCTGTAAAGAATGGAATCAGTCTCCTTTATTAATATGCTTGTTCTCGTGCCACTTTATTGCAGAACAGTACATCCCATTACAATGCTGGAACATGGGGAATAGTTCAAGGACAGCTAAGGCCCTTGCTAGCACCACGAGTATACACGCTCCCCATGGTACGCTCGATAGGAAAAACTATGGTTCAGGGGAAAAACTACGGGCCACAGATTACTGTGAAAAGGATATCAACCAGGTCAGTATTGTTTTCAAAGGCATTGTATTAGACCTCAAAGAAATACTGATAGTCATACATTTTCCATATCTTTTGGCATACTGAGCTCTCTCTGTACAACTTCGTTAGCCGAGTGACTTCAGTAGCCTTTACGTGTTTATGAGTTACATTGTATGGCTGTGTCTTTTTTTTTTTTTTTTCTGAAAGAGGTCGGAAATGCAAGCCCATTTTTGTACAGATAGCAAGGCAAGTGGTAAAGCTGAATGCATCAGACCTTCGCCTACCTTCCCGTGCCTGGAAAGTGAAACTGGTTGGAGAAGGAGCTGACGATGCAGGTGGAGTGTTTGATGACACTATTACAGAAATGTGTCAGGTATGATAAGTCTGTTAGTTCAGATTGCCTGGGTAAAGGCTTTGTTCTCTCTGGTGTCTCTTAGTATTTTTCAGATTTCCTTTTCACAGCATGGCAAGTACTTGTTCTTCAGTCCTGAGCCACAACACTAGAGCTGCCTACTTAGGGATGTCTCTGAGGATAAAGAAATGTTCCTAGATTGTGGCAAGGAGATATCATCAGGCCATGCTTATAACTACTGTTACAGTAGGCCCCCTGGACTTTTGAGGTGGCCCCTACACATTATGGGGACATTTTGCACCCCTCCATTCTGTGCAGCCAATACCTTCTGGAAGAGAAGTTGTGCTGTGTTCCGTGGTTACAGTACATTCCATGCGTACTGTACAGAAATAGGCAGGCATTTCTCACATACCCGAAGATATGTGCAACCTCTCAGATTCAGTGCTGGAAATTAAATCAGTGGCAGAAAGCACACATTTCTGGCTGTCTCTAACCAGGATATTGTTGCTATTGTCAACACAGCTGACTTTTTAGATTCCCCTGGAAACTGAAGGCTTCAGACTAGCAGGACTAAGATAAAGCTGGTCAATGCTAATGTCTACTGCTTATAGCTTTAAAGATGTGTCTCAGCCCTGCGACACAACTGTGATTGTAGCCAGGGGAAGGATTCAAGTCAACGCAGGCTAGAGAAGTTTGGTTGTTCCTTAATCTTCCAGGAGCCTCAAAACTGAAAGAATGAGCATTAGTGAGGATAATTAATATATTTGCTTAGTCTGAGAATGGGCAACAGCTATGGATCATTCTGGAGCTGGAACTGGAGTTAGAGTTAGGAAGCTGAAGAACTCAATTTGTTAATGGGATTTATGAATCCCGTAAGACTAGAGAGTAGGGTTGATTCAGGTGAGGACTTGAGGCATATTTTTTTGGGTTCTTTCGTAGACAGTTTACATTAAATATGAAATGTGATGAAGGTTCAGAACAGAAGTCATTGAAGAATCTGCTTCGTTTTTGCTTCTTGAAAAGCTGCACCGGTAAAGTGTATAGTTTATGGCTTCTGATCATTTTTTGAAGAGGTACCAGGAACGTATCACAGAGCAGTCACAGTAAAATAGCCATTATAGTCTGACATAAGGGCAAATCTTGAAATAAATATGTTTTTATTACTAAAAATCATCCCTACCATGTTTAATTTCTCTTAAATGTTTCACATTAATTTATAAGAAGTAATCATAACTATAATGGAATATTCTGTGTTGTAGTGCTATAATGTCTTAATATTTCTGTAACAGGTTTGTTATCCCTGTGTCTAAGAAGGCTTTTTTTGTTGTTGATTTTTAAGGAACTTGAAACTGGAATAGTAGACCTGCTTATTCCTTCCCCAAATGCGACAGCTGAAGTAGGCTACAATAGAGATAGGTAAGTTGTCCAGGATTTGCTTTTATTGCAGATCTAGGGGTGAAAATTAGAAAGCTCCTATTAACTGTTTTATACCAAATGGTGAGACTTCGTGATTGTCTCTTAGTATATTTCTTCCTTCAGGCTGTGATGTTACTTTATTGTGGAGGAGAGAGCATGGTTTAAACATTAATTTGCTGGATTGGTGATGGCAGAATTCAGAGTAACATTGAGAATGCCAGCCGTTGTGGTCAGGATTAGTTCTGCCTATCTCAGCCTCTGTTATTGTGACAGCGAAAAGATAATGATAATCTTCTTATTTGGACAGCCCTTGCTGATAATTGTGTTGGCAGTTACTTTGCTGTGCTTGGAAGTCTTCTGTCTTTTAATTCTAATGAAGTAGTATAGAATTATACTAGAGTACTTTCACTGATCCTTTGTTCTTTCAGGTTTCTCTTTAACCCTTCAGCATGTTTAGATGAACATCTGATGCAGTTTAAGTTCTTGGGCATTCTCATGGGTGTAGCTATTCGTACAAAAAAGCCATTAGATCTTCATCTGGCTCCAATGGTCTGGAAGCAACTTTGTTGTATCCCACTCATCTTGGAGGATTTGGAGGAGGTAGATCTGCTCTATGTGCAGACCCTCAACAGCATTCTTCACATTGAAGACAGTGGGATTACTGAAGAAAATTTCCATGAGGTAAGATAGGAAAGTTGGAGCTTTTAGGTTTATTCTGAAAACTTGATCAGATTGACCTTAACTTGGGTATCTATGTAATTTAATGTCTCTGTGACTGAAATAACAAGCGCTTTATAGGCATTTGGAAGATTTTCTAATCTTATTGTAGTTGTGGGTGACTGACAGTAAAATATTAATCTTAGATCACTAGAGTGACTTATGCTGAACATACTCTTCCTGTTTTGCATAACAGATGATTCCTTTAGATTCCTTTGTTGGCCAAAGTGCTGATGGTAAAATGGTTCCCATAATCCCTGGAGGGAACAGCATCCCACTTACCTTTTCAAACAGGAAAGAATATGTGGAGAGGGCAATTGAGTACAGACTCCATGAAATGGACCGTCAGGTAAGAATCTCATTGTGACCCTGCTCCCATTGCTAATGGGAACTGTGGTTGTGGTTTATGCAGGTTTCCATCACAACTTATTAAGGAATAAGAAAAGCTTGATTTTCTGCATCCTGCCTGGGTCCCTATGGCTTCTGTCCCTGCCCAAACTGTCTTGGGGTTTTGTTTTAAAGTAGTCCTTTTTTTCTAAGTAATTCTCAGTTGACAAAAGAGCATTAGAAGTTGGAACTTTTCTTTCATTAGAGTAGCCCCACTACAACTGTCAGCCCCGCTTGACAAATAACCTGCAGTTCTGCATGCTGTGCAGTGTACTTAGCCATCATAGCAATGCTGAGACTAGCTAAAGTAAATATTATTGACAAACATTTAACTTCAAACTATTTCTCTTCTGCTTTAACACAGGTACTACAAATATTTCATTATATGTTTTGAAAGGTGTTAATTGCCTATTTGCCTACTTTAGTGTATTTTGTCATTCGTACAGCGAAGCTTGTGAAAGCAGTATGGTAATTACATGCAAGGAAAATTCTTTTCTTTTTTCTCAAGATAGAGATGCATGCATTGTATTATCTGCATTAGAAAAGTAACTTTCTCATCAGAGGTACCAAATCCTAAGTCTGCTAGAACAAGTACGGACTTCTTACAAATATGACTTTATTCCAGCCCAGATGTATGGTGTATACGCAGTTCTTTGGTTTAGCCATCATCATTTGTGCTGCTAACTTGTACTTTTTAAGTTCCTCTGTTTTGTATCGAAACATGTTCTTTAATGTGCAATTACAATTAAAAATACCTGTAATATTCTCCAGGATGTTGAAAGAGGATACGGTTGTATTTGGCAGATACTCTGTAATTGTATCTATTTACCCCATTTTCTCAGCCGATATGTTACTTTTGCATTTGGATGGTACAGTAACTGGCAGAGGTGAGAGAATTGCACTTAACAATTTTTTTGTCTCTTTTTTTGGGCAATAGGTGGCTGCTGTAAGAGAAGGAATGTCTTGGATTGTTCCGGTTCCTTTGTTGTCTCTTCTGACTGCCAAGCAGTTGGAGCAAATGGTCTGTGGAATGCCAGAAATATCAGTTGAAGTTCTGAAGAAGGTTGTGCGATACAGAGAAGTTGATGAGCAGCATCAGCTAGTACAGTGGTTCTGGCATACCCTCGAGGAATTTTCAAATGAGGAGAGAGTCCTTTTCATGAGGTTTGTGTCAGGAAGATCTCGACTGCCAGCCAACACAGCTGATATCTCTCAGCGATTCCAAATAATGAAGGTTGATAGGGTAAGATGCTGGTTTTGGTTTGGGTTTTTGGGGTTTTTTTTAATTCCTGTCTAGCGTAATCTGTCCTTCGGCAATAGGAGACAGGCTTCCATAATTGTAAATTTACAAAGAAAGTATCTGATGGAATATGCTCTGAGCTATTACCACAAAACATTTTAATAGTGTAGAAGTACATAGAATGCATGAATTGCATCTTAATTTATTTGGTGCATTTACTGTAGTTATATGAGTAGAGGTCAAGACAAGTTCTTGAACAAGAAACAAACCTTCTTGTAACTTGTCAACAGTCATTTTCTGTTCCAATCCCTTTTTCCATTTGATAATTTTCACTCTTTAAGTTTTAAATCTGTGTAAGTGACATGTGACCACTAGTAAGGACACTCTAATGTCTTAAAAGCACTGTCATGAGTTTGCAGTGGATCACTTTACGTACAGGATGGATTCATTTGGCATCACTCTGTGTGCAGTGAAAGCACATTCTCTCTCAACTACATGCATCAAAAACTTGGCAAATTCTAAGATAACAGTGGTTTGACTCTCATCTCTGGTTAGGTGTTTCTCAGATCGCCTTATGTTAAGGCACACTATGGTATGTAATTGGAATGTCACTTGGTATCTTCCAGTGGGCTGCTAAACAGTAGTGCAATCAACTTTTCACGTAGCTGAATTTCATGAGTGGGTTATTTCCAGAGCAGGTGTTACAGCAGTGGTTTTGCGCGTCTTTGAGGATGAAAGTTGACGTAACCAAGGAAAGCTAGTCTGCTTCTTAAAAGGAATTTTCAGATAGAATGTGAAAATGCTGAATGATCATGGCAATGAATTACGGATATGTTGCATTTTTTGCTTCATTCACAACTTACCAATGTCCCACTTTTTATCCGTTTCCACAGCCTTACGACAGCTTGCCTACCTCACAGACTTGTTTCTTTCAACTGAGGCTCCCACCTTACTCCAGTCAACTAATCATGGCAGAGCGTTTGCGCTATGCAATCAATAATTGCAGGTCTATAGATATGGACAATTATATGCTCTCACGGAATGTAGACAATGCAGAGGGCTCAGACACAGATTATTAACATTCTGTGAACAAAATCATCTTCCTTTTACTACAAATAGTGCCCTAAGTCCAATTCATTGTTGACATAATTTTACAGTAACCATAGATGTTTTAGGAGCATAAAACCAGATGTTAATAGAAGTGGCCTCATTTTAGTTACTCTAAATGTAAGAAAAAATTAGATGTTTTTATTTTTTTGTGAATGTACAAAAGAAAAAAAGGAAAAAGAAAGCAAAAAAAATCTGAGCAGTAAGGTTTTTTTTCTCCTTTTTTTGGTCACTTTTGATAAGTTTGCATGGAGACATTTTGGTGCATTTTTGTTGGGAATAGTACGTTTGTAAGCCCTCCCAGTGAACATGAAGAGTTGTACATTGTGTATAATTGTTCACTAGCAAGGACAGTTTTACATGAATATTCACATATTTATTTTGTTTTAATTTGAATTGCCTGTGCAGGGTTCTTTATGCAGAGAAAAATAAAGCAAATTCAAGAAATGGTTGCTTGTATGCATTTGTGAACTGTGATTGCTTTACTCAGTCTTCATACTGTTATATGTTGTCTCAGGAAATTATACTATTACAGTGTTTAGACAGGACGTGACATTTGAAGCGTCTTGAAATACTGATCATCAGCGTATCTGATGTGTAGTACTGTGCTCTTCATTCTTAATGTCTTGGAGGTACTGTCTTTTTTGGGTATACCACTATTTATTCTTTGTACTTCAATACAAGTGAACACTGTACCTGGTTCCTTCTTGATTTTCATTTTAATATTTTTCTCCTCCAGAGTAATGGTTGTTGACAGTAATAACATACTGCCACCTTGATTCAAAAACCTTTAACTATTTTGTTTTAAAAAAAAGTCCTTTTTAATATACAGATTGATGTACTTGATTCCTGCTCAGAGCACAAAAAAAAAAGGGACAGGGTAGTAGTGGAGGCTGTGGATTTTATATACGTTCTTAGTTTATGCCTTTGATTTCTGTGTATTTCATGTGTTTGGTCTCATTTTGTTGTAGCTGTAATTGTAGGATGATCCCAGGGCGTGGCTTACACTGTGAAGTTCAGTTTGGCTAGGGCAGTAAGGTACTGTACAAAGGAATTTCTGTTCTGTACCTTAGGGAAGTGCTGAGGAACATGGAGTTCCCCAGTGTCCCTACCAGAAACATGATTGTGTCAAACCACAGATGCTGCTTGGTCTCCAGGAGCGGAGGAAAGGGGAGAGCCTGTGCCCAGGTGAGTCACGGCTGCTCTGCCGCCTCCTTCTCACTGAGCTCCTCGGTGCGGATGTGTGGGGCTTAATCTCACCTGGGACAAAACCGGTCCCTCTGAGTCTGGAGCAGAGGGTGGAAATTGCTGTTGTTTTCCCTCATGTGATTGTTGTTGGTATCAACAGGGAAACATTCTGGTGGTCTGAGACTGGACTGGTGTATGCTGCCAGCTAGCGGCAGTCAAAGGGCTGACTTGAGCAGCTGTGAAAATCTGGTGAAGTTCTTTCCGTTAGGACTAGTTGTTGGCTCATGAGAAAGGCGCAAAAGGTTCTTGAGCTGTGACCAAGAACCAGACTGCAACATGGAACACCTGTGGGGGGCCTTTCGGCAGTTTGGGGAGAAGGAGGGACTCAGAGCTCTGAAATCATGCAGACTTAGCTTCCTGCCTCATTATGTGTTATGGTTCCAAACTGGACGGAGGTTTTGGTGTCCCATGACTGGCGTGGGGGAACATATTCACATCTTGGTCTAAATTCATAGGTGTAGTATGTAAAAAATACAAGGTTACAAATAAAAGGGGAAAATGCTGTATAAAGTCCTGTATTATTGCCTGCTAGGCTTGATTGATGTGTCTGAATTAGTACTGTTAATTTGTCAGTCTGGTTCAGTCAGGCACAGAAAATAGAACTGTGCCTAAAAATTACAGTTTGTATACAGTTTGCTGCTTGGATAATTAGGGTATTTTTGGAGGTAGTTTACAGTAAAGTGAAAGAGGATGTTGATATCAGTAAATATTGATGTTGATTAAAGGACTGTGCTTGATTGCTTTAATGGAGAGTTTTTTATTGATTGTGCTTGCCCTTTGAATATTCTATCTTAGCATCATTAAAACTATCAAGCGCTTCATTATTTTTCTCTTATCCTCCTCCTTGTTTTCACCCTAATTATATCGTGTATACATTCCATTTAACCTGCTGGTTGACATTTTTCTGTTGCTCAGGCATCAGAGTGAGATGGGAATCATGTTCAGGTTTCTCGCATAATGCTTCTCATACATAATTGCATACAAAGATTATGTACAGCACTTTGCACAAAACTGCGGCACAACGCCGGTCCCCTCTATAGGCGACGCTCAACCATCTGCCACGCGATGACAGTCCCCTTATACAGGCACGCAAAGCGCACCTCTGGAAAAAAGTGCCACGTGACAACAGTCCCCCTATATAGGTTCATTAAAGCAATGTTACCCAAGAGGAGAGTCGAAATGAAGTAATATATTCGCATTTGAGTGAGTTTATACAATTTGTTGCACTTAAAACTGAACCGATTTTCTTGATGCTTTTTCAGGCATCAACTTTTTTTCTGGCTTATTGTCTGGAATCATGTTAGCACTTCTCTCTGCTCTCAGCATCACTGAAGGACATTTCTCCCTGAGCTTCTCTAGACCAGTTTGTGTTATGTTCCGGCAGAAATCCACATGGAGTGTTTGCAGTGATCCCCCGTAGAGGGTCACTGCTTCTAGTGTCTGGTCGGTGATCCGCACACAGTTTTCCAGTTTGAGCGTCTTGAGGTTTGGACACTTCTGGAGAAGAAGCAAGATGCAATCGTCTGTCACGTGGCCGCATCCAGAGAGGGTCAGAGATAGCAGGTTTGGACATCTGAAATCATGATCGTTACAGGTGAGATGAGGGGAAAAATAAGAGAACTTGGAGAAGGTAATATCATCAACAATAAATATAGAAGTTGGAAAAATATCTTCTCTTCCATCAGGAGGGGTAAGGGAGCATTAGGAGGTGGGGGCATGTGTAGATCTTTAAGCTCAGCTTTATTAATCACAAAACTTACCTTCTGTGCTTTTTCTGTTGGTAGCAACATCTGTAGCTCAGTTGGAGCAGTGCAGATGGGTTGTGGGTGCCTATTTAAGCTGCAGCTGCATTGTTTTCTCTTAAAGAATTGCATAGTGCTGCGCTTCTGTAAGCGCAGCAAATGAAGACCCAGTAGAGACAAGATTCAAGTCAGGATATGAATTTGAGGACAACTGAATGAAGAGGCTGCTGTGTAGACATGCTGAGTGAGCATGGGCAAGTAAGACACTCCCACTCTCAATTTTATTGGGGATTAATGGGTGTGTTTTAGCTCCCTGGATTTATCGACTAGGTGCCAGCTATTGCCTAAGAGTACTGATGTTTGAACCCCACGCTTCTAAACCTTCCTTCAAATCACTGAACCTGGTAAGAACTCTATTGTGAGCCAGTGACACAGTAAATTAAAAAAGCTTTCTTTTTTGTTGCTTGGGTAGACCTGGGAAGGTACAGAGAAGGGCCTGTTCCCAGACAGTGTGTTGTTGGCATACACCAACTGTCCCTTGTGCAGAAAACAGGAGCAGACCAGTTCTTAGTAGCTGTTGTGCTGACCAGGCACGTTTGCAAGGACGCTCCTGCAGCAGCCTGCACAGCCTTTTTGTCCAGTGTTTGGTTTCTGGCTTGAACCTCTCTCCAGGGAGCAGCAGTTCAGCTATCCTTCTGTTTAGCTAAATGCAGCTCTACGTTTCTCCGTTAGCACAGGACTTCTTCAGGCCCTGTTGCGTAGAAAAATTATTACAGTAATGCTAATGGTGAGCTTGCGGACCTTTGGACAGAACTATTAGCCTGCCTCCATCCTCTAAGAACTGCAAGGTGTCTGTAGGCGCTTCCATGTAAAGATTGGTGCTTACAGCCTGTATTGGGGTTTAGACATACAACAGCAGCGGGGCCAAACAAGGGGCTCTGCCATCCCTGCAGTGTTGTCTTTTGTCCTTAAGAGCTGGTACCTAGTACATTCCTCTTTCTCTGCACTCCATCCCCATCCCCTGCTGCTGCTTGTCTTCATCACCTTTTGAGCACATGTAATAAAGTGAGATATGTCAGTTGCATGATCTTATTTTTTTACCTTTTTTTCCTTTTGTGATGGGTTAGCTTAATTGTTCGTTACACTTACGAACAATTAGAAAAACAAATGTTTTAAAGCAGGCAAGGTCAAGAAGGGCTTCAACTTGCCATCTCTTCTGGCTTTTGTCAACCTCGGGGACAAGAGCTGCGTATTTGTTTAATTTGCATTTTTTCTTTGCACAGAAGGCTAGGAATTTGGTTTGGATGGAAATCCTTTCAATGGATTTTTGCAAGAAAAGGCAGGAACTTGTCTTAGGAAGGCTCAGATGGATGCGGTGGGAGGGGGGCGAGTGTCAATATGAACTGTCATTTCTAAGAGTACAGTTTAACTTGTTGCTGGATTTTTATGGACTTTGAGATTGCTTCCTACCCTACAGGGTAGTAAAATTCAATTTGCTTTGAATTTTGTGAAGCAACCAGTTTGGGATTATGGATTTGGCAGAGGAGGAAGGCACTTAAACTATTTCTATGGAGCTGTAGTCTTGCATCCTCTTTCTGAATCCTAATTTGTGATGGCAAAAGAATGAAGTAGTTAAGTGTGGCTCATGGTAGACATTCCAGTGCCAAAATGAGAGAATACTTTCTCCTGCACCCTCCTTTGTAGGCACAGATGTGCTTCCTAGTGATACTTTTCTAAATAATCCAAATTTTTGATCAGTTGTTCTAGAACCGTTACTTCTGGAATTTTGTACTTGCAGCTTAACATTTTGTTTTGAACCTACCCTTCAGTTCTTGTTTTGAGATTACACTGTTGCTGTTCTGACACTGCACTGTGGCTGGTTCTCACCAAGACTGTATCCTGTAATTTGTTGGGATTTTACATTGTTACTTCCAAATAGAACTTCTTGCCTTCCATGGGCTGGCTGTGGCATTAAGGTGTGCCATTTCAGGACAGGCACTGACATGCTCCTTTCAGAGCTAATCCAGGACCACAGCCTTCTCTGGTGTTACCAAACACGAGGATCCGCTCTACCCTGTTTGCTCCTCCTAATGTAATTTAACCTCTTTTTTTTTTTTTTTTTCTTTTTTTTTTCTTGGAGCAGCTTTGTAAAGCTGTTACAAGAAATTGTGTGCACCCAGAGCTGCTTTTCCATAGTGGTATTTCTCTTCCTTTATGGTAGTTTATAAAAAGCTAAGATAAGAGTTAAATTTCCATATAAAAGCAGTACTTAATTCGTAGAATGAAACAGATTTGCTGTTTAGTAACATGTTTAATGAACTCAGTTTTGTTATGAGATATATTCACTATTTAAAATCACATCTTTCCTCTAGCCCCTTGCCCCAGGACAATGCTTTGTGCTGCCAAATGGTACGGTTCAGTTAAGCGGCAATTTAGCAGGCAGTATTGTGTTTTCCTGTATTGATTATTAATTCTTCAGAAAAAAAAGGGAAAAAAAAAAAAAGGAAAGTCAGTATGTCAAGGTATACACTATTGCCACTATAAAACCAACTTAACACTCTATTAAAACTGCAAAGTCAAAGCGCTCCCGTACTGACTGCACCGTTTCAGGGAGGCTGTAAGGATTAAATAGCTCACGTTTGTGTCATTTCAAGGCAGTTAACCTTTACAGTAGACATAGAGTTTCACACCC